TGAGCCACCGCGCCTGGCCGCCCTGGTGGTTGTATTTCTGTTGTGTGTGGTTTTTTTTTGGTTGGTTGGTTGGTGTTTTTTTTTGTTTGTTTGTTTTTTTAAGAGACGGGGTCTCTGTTGCCCAGGCTGGAGTGCAGGGACACTATCATGGCTCACTGCAGCCTCGACCTCCTGGGCTCAAGTGATCCTTCCACCTCAGCCTCCCGAGTAGCTGGGACCACAAGCCTGTGTCACCAGACCCCAGCTAATAATTTTGTTTTTTCTTTTGTAGAGACAGGGTTTTGCCATGTTGTCCATTGTCCAGGCTGATTGCTGATCTCAACTCTTGACCTCAAGTGATCCTCCCGCCTCAGCCTCCCAGAGTGCTGGGATTATAGGCATGAGCCACCATGCCTGGCCTTGTTTTGTTTTTAATTAATAGACTACGTTTTTTGAGCAACTTTAGGTTTCTAGGAAAATTGAGCAGAAAGTTTAGCAAGTTCCCGTGTGCCCCCATGGCCTCAGTTTCCCATGCCCTTAGTTCCCCCTGCCCTCAGTTTCCCCACCGGTCCTGTCTTGCCTTGGTGTGTCTGTCCCTACTGGAGCCAGGCTGATCTGTCACAGTGCATCTCACTGTTGCCTCCAGCCATGGTCATGGCATCATCGTGTCTGCGTTCCCGACAGGAGGTCCTGCGGAGGCCCTCACCCATGGCTGCTTTTGCCTTCCCTCTAGAGTTTAAAGAAACCCATTATCCCCAAAGAGTTTGGGGGCAAAGTCCCCACCGTCATCCGCCAGCGCTATCTCAACCTGTTCATCGAGGAGTGTCTCAAGTTCTGTACCTCCAACCAGGAGGCCATAGAGAAGGTGAGGTCCTGGAGTTCCTGTCTGGCCGGCCGGGTGGGGACTAGGGGTCCAGGGTGGTCCCCAGACATCCCTCGGCCTCTCAGCCGCAGCTGCAACCTGGAGCTGCCTGGGAGAGATGCAAGTCCCTGACCCCATGGCGACCCCACCACTGGGGTTCCCCAGCACCAGGCAGGCATGGCCTCAGCTGGGCACCACGTGTCCCCCAGGCACTGAACGAGGAGAAGGTGGCCTATGACCGCAGCCCCAGCAAGAACATCTACCTGAATGTGGCCGTGAACACCCTCAAGAAGCTCAGGGGCCTGGCCCCCAGCGCCGTGCCCAGCCTCAGCAGTGAGTCCTGGCAGCGGGGGCGGGAGGCTCAGGGTTGCTCAGCAGTGAGTCCTGGCGGGTGGGGTGGGAGGCTCAGGATTGCTCAGCAGTGAGTCCGGGCGGGGGAGGCTCAGTGTTGCCCTTGGGGTGGCAGCTGGGCTGAGCTGGGACCTTCACAGCCCTGAGCTCAGCTACAGTCTCAGACAAAAGGAAAGCGCGGGTGCCACGGGGGGCTGCCTGCTCCCTGGTTCCCAGGCTTCTGTCTGGGACTGGCCCGGCCCTGGCGTCCTCGCTGTCAGCCACCTTCCTCTGCCGAGTCAGGTCTCCGGGCCGAGGGACCGCCTGCTAATGGAGCCGCGGCAGCCTCTTCAAAGCAGGAGGTCCCGGGCTGGGCCAGCTCCGTGCATTAAGCTCTGGGGGGAAGAAAGCAGAGACCTGGGCGTTTCATTGCAGCCTCTCCAGGCTGCATTAAGCCATCACTGGCCCCCGCCTCCGTCCCCGCCTCCATTAGCACTCGGAGAGGCCCTGGGTTGGCGTCGCAGGCTGGGTGGCCCGAGAAGGCTCAAAGCCCTCAAAAGCCATTAGATCCCCCGTGCTGTTTTCCCAGCCCTTCCCCCTTCGCTTGAGGGGAGAGGGCGAAGGCTTCGGGTGTGGGGTCTCCATGCAGCTCCCGGGCCTGCAGAGCTGGGGGCTACCCTGCATCCCTGGCCCACCACGTGTCTGCCCAGGGTCAGTAGGGCACTATCTCAGAAAGGGGGAGTTGAGGCAGAGGTCTGAGGAGGGCAGGGTGGGTGGGAGAGCAGGTGAGGCGGGGTCTGAGCCAGCTAGTTCACACCCTCCTCCCCTCCCCCTTTCCCCTCCTTCCAGAAACCAGTGGCCGCAGGGTTGTGTCCCACGAGGTGGTGTTGGGGGGCAGGTTGGCCACCAAGACCAGCTTCTCGCTCAGCCGCCCAAGCAGCCCCCGGGTGGAGGACCTGAAAGGTGAGGACTCGCCCCGCCTGTGCTCTGCCACATGGTGCCTCGCGGGCCCCCACCAGCCGCCTTTCCCGGTGGTGTCCACCACCCCGTGGGCCATCCCAGGCAGGGGCTGACCACCGTGCCTGTCCACAGGGGCTGCCCTGTACAGCCGCCTCAAGGAGTACCTGCTCACCCAGGACCAGCTCAAGGAGAATGGCTACCCCTTCCCGCACCCAGAGCGGCCCGGCGGCGCAATCATCTTCACAGCTGAGGAGAAGAGACCCAAGGACTGTGAGTTGCTGGCCTTCAACGGCCTAGGCGGGCAGGTGCGGGACGTGGGCAAGGCCAGGCATGTGGGCCCCAGCGTGAGCCTCAGCTTCCGCCCGGGTCCCCCCCACAGCTTCCTGCAGGACCTGCTGCCGCTGTGGCACCGAGTACCTCGTGTCCTCCTCGGGCCGCTGCGTCCGGGACGAGGAGTGTTACTACCACTGGGGACGGCTGCGCCGGAACCGGGGTAAGGCCTTACCCAGGCCCTCCCCCGTCCCACCCATGGTCCCTGGAACCTGGGCCTTCCCTTGAGGCCCCCGGAACTGGTGTGAGGCCTTACCCAAGCCCTCCATCCCACCCACGGTCCCTGGACTCCACTGTCCCGGGCAGAGCCAAGGCTAGCCCTTGGCCTCATTTTCTCTCCACCCATTCTTTATGCAAAAGTAAGACAAGAGCTTTCCCATGACAGTGTTCAAATGCCACCAGCTGAAAGGCCCTGTGTCCCTGTCTTCCTGTGCCCGTGGTCCATGGAAATGTGGAGGCTGCTGGCCACATGAGCGGAGGGCTTGTCCCACCCTTGGCCTGCTGGTTCCATTCAGTCCCCCACGCAGCCACACAGCCATGTTCGGGGCACATGGCCAGCCTTGCACAGCCCTGCTGCGGCCCCTAAAGCCATC